GCGTGAGTTTGGTTAATTGTGTTGATCTGCTCTGAGGTGACTGTGGGAGTTTCTGTGGAAAATGTGATTTTGGAATGAAGCAGGAATCTCTTAAAGGTCCCCTATTATAGTGTTTTTCATCAATATATTATAGGTCTCAGATATATACGAAACATGTCTCTGAAGTGTTTGGCTCCAAACACCAAACGGATCATTGCAGCATTACCCATAATCCCCTCTGTTTCAGCCCTGTTTCCAAAGTGCTGATTCTCTATCTGTTACTTTAGATGAAAATGAGGAGCCACTCCCCACGCCCCTCTGAGAGATATTTGGTTAAAAAGAACACAATGGTGCTCTAGGAGGAGATTCAGGTGATAAGGCGGAGGAGGGTTACCTTGGTTGCTAATGGTTACACAAGCCAAAAAATCGTTATGACATCATAAAGTGGCCAAAATCTGATCAGACAGGTTTTTATGGACAAAAAGAGAGAGAATCTTTGTTCCTGAAACGTTCAGAGTCTCTTTACACAGAGGGGACACATGTTGATGTAGAAGAGACATGGAGAAGTAGAATTTGCATAATCGGTGACCTTTTAAATGTGTTGTGAAAAAATGCTTTGTTTTTTAGGTCGTCGGTGTCTAAGCCCAACGAGAAAAGTTCATCGCACAGCAAGGTAGCTTTTGTAATGCCACTCAACGAGGTACATTTTGAAAATGATGCACAGGTCTCACAATTACTCTTTTCTTACTTCAGGCTCGAGACGAGGATGTTTCTATGGACTCCTTTCTTCAAGAACTCCCTCCTCTTCAGAAAGAAGATTTTCGGCAGCATGTTGGACCCTCAGAGGAAGCCGGGAGTTGTACGTACCAAAAAAAACATCTCGTGCACTTACGGTTGTCATTTTAAAATGTTTAATTTGTGCCTATGCTGGTTTAACGAAAAGAAAATGTTTCTTGTTTCAGATGAGAAGTGGATATGATGGTTTGGGAGGACGTACTAAATTCATCCAACCTGTATCCTTTTCTTTCTGCCTTGTGGATTACATGTGTCAGGTGTTTCTTGATTTATCCTTTATGTGTAATGTTTGTTGAACTGTTCATCTTCGTCTAGACTTGTAAACCTACTGTTTTAAAAGGTTTAGGCTTAGCAGAGAGACACAGCTGGCGTCTAGCTAGTGAACAGAGCTATTTGTTCCCAAAAGAGATGG